TTATTCTAAGTAAAATGTCATTTCCGAAAAATAGAAGCATAAGTGTTTCAAAAGGTTTAATGGCGGTGGCAGATGTGAAGTTAAATTCACCAACTCAAACAAACAGTCAAAGTGTTGTTGTCAATGTCAAAGACAGAGATGTTGAAGTGGGGAAACCATACGAAGACGAAGATGGTATAACAATTGTTCCTGTAAAAGAACCAACATATCCTGAAGTTAGCAGAGACTTAAGTTCTGTTGCAGATATTCGAAACGACTACCAACAACTGAAAGACAAACTTCAAACTCAGGAGAAGATTTGTCAAGCTTTAGGTATAATGTTAAACTTGGTCGAACACAACCCTGTAAAAGTGAACTCATATGTCATTGCACCTCATGAAGTTTTGAAAGAACTATTGAAACTTTTGACAGAGGCAGACGATATAAACATCAAAGAAATAGAACCCGACATTAGTTGCTGTGGTGTTTCATATAATGTCATTGACAAGATATACGTTATGAAAGGAGGTGAAACGTTGAACTTAAAGTATAGTTTCCCAGACGTCATAAAAATATTTGACGACCACAACATTTCATTAAAATTTATTTGCTAAGTAAATGGCAGAAGATATAATGGTTTATACTATTACGACTAAAAACCCTGAGTCATATAATTCTATAACAACAAACTTACAAAGTCCTCAAGGACGGTATTGTAAACTAACCTTAAACACAATGACGACTAAAGCCTGTTTTGCTCTTTTGACACCAGAAGACTTTATTGTTGTGAATGGTAAAAAATACTCCTTTGAAGATACTTACTCAGATATACCACCAACAGGTTTTGTTGACTTATTTAATACTTTAAGTACGGGTGTAACATGTGCTGCAACTAGAGCAGGTTTCATTATGTTTGGATGTCCGACTGAGTTTACTATAAACAATATGAGCTATAATACAAAACTTATATCTGGTTTTTACTACCAACAGTTTCCTATAACAGGAAAAGGTGTCATACAAGGAATGTCTATTCCATTGACATTAAGCACACCAATCTTATATATTGTTTCAAACTTAGGTTCAAAGTGTTATTCGAATGTCGACAGAAACTATTATGACCAAAAAGATACTTATGCGTATAAACAATACTTTCTCTGCTGGTTTGCCTATTGTTCATTCGAATGCAGAATTTTCAACCTTAGTGAACTCAAACACTTTGGCAAGTATAACGTTGACATTAGTTGACGCAAACTTTGTTCCTGTAAAACTTTTATGTCCTATGTATTTGTCAATGACGGCAGAAAGTTTCGAATTGGAAGATGCAACTGGTGAAAGTATTGTATTACAAGAACAACTTCAACAACAAATAGCTCAAGAACAACAAATGCAACAAATGCAACAAATGCAACAACAAAGTCAAGAATAAAAAAAAATATTTTTTTTTTTTTATAAAAATGTACAGAATAGATGTTTCAGATTTTTATGACTTCCAAGCATTCAGAAATATGTGTCCATTTCGAGACTATAAACAAAGCAGTCGAGAATTTGAAAACGTTTAGTCATTTATGTTGACTCTGCCCCAGAATGTTATGTTATGAAAGAATGGGATGTAGTCTTTAACAAACCAAGAGCAACAATAGTGTCTGAACAAGAATGTAGACAGAAACTTTAAGAAAATAAAAGTTGTACAAGTTGGAATGAAGATGTTAGATGCTTGGATATCTTATTGTCAAAGTAGAAGATTTTTTCAGTTCGAGGTATAAAGTTCTATACACCTTCTCCAAACTTCTATTCTATCTTCACTGGATATAAATACGAACAAGTAGAATGGAAAGAAAATATTATAGAAGCTTGGTTAGACCATGTCAAAGAAAATTATATGCAATGGAAACGAAAGAGTCTATGAGTATATCTTATGTTGGTTTGCAAACATCTTACAACATCCAAGTGCTAAAAATGAAACTGCTCTCATTATAATTGGAAAACAAGGAAACAGGTAAGAACACATTCTTTACAGATATCTTATGCAAACTGTTAGAGGGCTATTCGAACCCGAATATGACAAACATAGAAAACATCTGTGGCAAGTTTAACTCCTCAATAGAGAATATGAAACTTATAGTTTGCAATGAACTTCAAAGTATAGATACAACAAAAGTTTTGAACTCAGATGCTTTGAAGAGTCTTATAACAGACAAAGTTGGAGTTGTTGAAAGAAAATATAAAGACCAAAGAGTTTGTGAAAATGTTGCAAACTTCATTATGGTTTCAAACAATGCTGTTCCGATGAAGTTAGAAAGTTCTGACAGAAGATATGTAGTTGTCAGAACGTCAGATTCTCATATGCAAGATACAGAATATTTTGACGACTTAGCAGAAACTTTGACATCTGACTTTTACAACCACTTGTTCTCATATTTTATGACATTAAATATTTCTAAGTTCAATCCAAGACAAATTCCACATACCGAAGAGAGACAAACATTGTTAGATAGCAAACAAGAGTGTATATGAACTGTTCATAGATGAACTGACTTTGTGTCATTAGATGAAAGGTCATTGTACGATTCGTATAAACAATATTGTCAAGAATATGGTTATATGGCAGCGTCTAAACGAACATTCTTGGCAAATGTCAAAAGTCTTTTAGACGTACAGAATGGTGTATATACAAAGAAAAATTTTTCTGAGTAAATTTTAAAAAAAATATTTTTTTTTATCCGATAGAAAAGATGACAAAATTCATCTCAGTAAACAAGTACATGTCAGGACTTAAAGAAGAACTAGACCCATTCACATATTTGAATGTTTACTTCTACCATTTTGAAAAGTCTTCATTCAGCAAAGTTTGGAACATCGAACCAGTTAAGTTTGCTATTGTGACTAAAAATGGTGCGAAATTTGAAGACTTAGACATAGAAGGTTTGTTAACAGTCAAGAAAGTTTTGACAGAAGGTTCTCAAACCTTAAAGAAGGCAAAGCATACAAACTTGTTATACCTTATGAACCAAAGAAAGCAGACGACTATGAATATTATGAGTCTAAGATAGTTGAAGTTCAAGGTAAATTGGGTAAAAAGATTTTAGAGTCTAAGCCAGTGTTTGCCCCTAAAGAGGAAGAGAACATTGACATTGACCCAGAAATGTTCTAAAAATAAAATTTTATTTTTACATGTCAAATTTCTTTTTCTCTGGAACTGGTTCAGGTTCTTTCTTCTCTTCTTCTACTTTCTTTTCTTTCTTTTCTTTCTTCTTCTTTTCTGGTGGAGTTATGTCAAACTTCTCAGAACCATATTTTTTGTAAAAGTTCTTTGTCCTTTAATAGCTCTTCTATTCTGTTTTCTATTTCATCTTCAAGAACAGCGCATGTGTCTTCTTTGCATTCTAAGAAGTTTTGTTGGACTTCATCTCTCCAAGAGGCGTCATCTCTGTCAACAAGTCTGTCATTGACAAATTTTAAGACTTCTCTGCTTAATGTTTTATGGTTCTTGTCATATTCCCAGAAACAGAACTTTAGAACAAATTCACCTTTCTTGTTTACACTATGTAAGATTTTATGGTCGACAGATGTTTTGCTGTCGAAAAGCTTGTCTCGAATATAGATAGCGAAATCGCTAGACATTTTCTAAAAGATAAAAATTTTAATTTTTCTAAAATATGTTAGAAAAAAGTTTGCTGACATTGACAAGAAATTTGAGAATGTTTTAAATAAGAACAAGAGGAAGTTAGAAAATGCTCAGATAAAGCCTATACATGACAAGTTCTTATTTGCTCAGAATGGTATAACAGGTCTAATTGCACACCTGGGTCGGGTAAGACTTTCACTTATCTTAAAATGGCTGCACAACAACAAGAACTAGATGAGAAGAACCCATTCTATGAGTTAGTAGTCATTTGTAGTACTTCTGGTCAATTTGACCAAACCGTCAATTCGTTCAAAGATATTATAAAGAAGTCTAAGTTAGTATGTATAAAAGACTCTGAGTTGTTAGATTGGATAAAGAAGTACCAAAGAAGGGTTTTGAAGTACAATGCTATAAATGAGTATATAAATTCGAAGTTTAAAGACCCAAATGAGGAAATGCAGAGAATATTAGAGAAGAAACACTTCAGAAACAAACAGAAAGAGATAGAATACATTTCGAAGAAATTGCAATCTTACGATTGGAAGACATACCCTCATAGATGTCTTCTTATCTTAGATGATTTCGCCTCTCATCCTTTGTTAAAGAATAGAGAACAAGATATGTGTCGAATTCTTAAGAAGCTCAGACACTTTAACATCTCAGTTGTCATTTGTGTACAGACAGCCAAGAGTTTAAGTAAGGATGTTAAAAGAATACTTACTGACATTGTACTTTTCCCCGGATTGTCCGAAGACGATTTCATGGAACTTATGAAAGAGTCCATGGCAGGTAAGTTTGACAGACATGAACTATGGGAGAAGTACAAAGTCATACAAGACCCTCATACTTCTTTCAGAATTCATATCTACGCGAACAAAGTTCAAATTGTAAAAAGTCAAGCTTGAAAAATGTAAGTGTTTAGTCTTAGTAAGTAAGTCTGTTGTGGTGCTGGGGCTGTCGGTTCTTCTGGCTTTGGAAGGCATTCAGGAAGAGGGACGTGAGACATTCGTTTGTGTCCTGTTGGAAGGAAGAACTTTTCCTGTTGGAAGGAAAAACTTTTCCTGTTGGAAGGAAAAACTTTTCCTGTTGTCCGGAAAAATTTTTTCTGTCGGAAGGAAAAACTTTTTCTGTCGGAAGGAAAAACTTTTTCTGAAGTTCGACCAAAAAGTTCTCAATTTTCGAAAATTTGAATGGTTTACGGACGGACAACTAGAAAATTTTTTCCTGTCGGAAGGAAAAATTTTTTCTGTCGGAAGGAAAATTTTTTTCTGTTGGAAGGAAAAACTTTTTCTGTCGGATGGAAGGACTCAGAATGCCAGAAGGATTTGACGAGGCAATTTACCTAATTGAGCTACTTGAGCCATCTGAAGTCAAGCGTAAAAATAAAGAGTGCAATTTACTCTACTTGTTTGAAGTTGTCAAAATACTCTGTTATTTTTTCCTTTAACAATGGCAAGTCTTCTTTGAATGTAAGTATTGTACAACCTTTCATATCATAGTGTGTTTGAGGTAACGTATCTTGAACTATTTGTTTCACATCTTCATTTGGAGTCATTGAAATCGGTAAGTTTTCGCGATAGAACCAATTTCTGTCAGATTTGTAAATCTTAGCAAGGTCGTAAAAGCTTTTGTTGTTTCTTCTGACTAAATGCAACATAACCATATCTTTATCTTCTTCATTTTCCATCTCTTCAGTATAAATCATATACTTATAGTTCTTTTCCTTTCCTTTTGGTACCGAACGTGGTATTCTTTTCTGAATGTTTTTGTCTTTTGCTTCAATGACTTCATCTTTTGCTTGAAGTTTCTTTTCCATCTCTTCACGTTCTTGTCTATGAATTTCGTCAAGAAGTCTGTAAACATGCCATGCATAACGAGGAGAAGCCCACATTGCAACTGCATTTACTAAAAGTCTATGTACATAATATCCTCTTAAATTTATTGGCAAATTTTTACGATTTTCATGTGTTTTATGCATGGCCGAAAAAAGTCGGTCTAGAGAAATTTCACTCAAAAGTTCTTGTGTGCTTTGGTTTTTGAACCAGTCGTCTGCGTGTTTAGTGTCTGGAGCAAAACATGCTGTCAAAATACTTTGCATTTGGTACATATCGTCTTTGACCGAACGAATGAGACGTAACTGTTTGTTAAACTGAACCCACTCATATTCTTCATTTATGGCTTCATGAACGATAGCAGTTGTTGTGTTCTCTGATGTTGACATATCTGTCTTTATATTCCGGATAAAAAAATATTTTATAAAAAACTAACTTTATTTTTTCTATCTTAAGGAAATTCATGATTTTCATAGAGTTTTGGCGACCCCGAAGGAAGTCGGTCTCGCTGTGCTTCATGATTTTCATAGAGTTTTGGCGACTACGTTTTCTTACGTACTCGCTGTTCTTCACTGTTTTCGTACGGAATCTCTACCCTCGGTTTTTCGAGGGTAGCAATCTTATGCCATTTTACTCAGATTTTTGTGCTGAATTCAGCAAAAATAATGTTTATGTTAGAATGTTAGATCTAACCTGTTTTTTTCACCTGTTTTTTCACCTCATTTTTCACAAGCGTTTTACATGGTAAACGTTATTTTTACATTATGACACGAAGTGAAGGTTGACACTTCGTCAAAAAAATCCCTGAAATCATATCTTTTATACAAAAAAATACAAAAAAATGACACTTTTTCATTAGATAACTGTTATTTTTTGACGAAGTGAAGGTTGACACTTCGTCAAAAAAATCCCTGAAATCATATCTTTTATACAAAAAAATACAAAAAAATGACACTAACTTTATTTTCTGACTTTCACAAAAGACCAAAAATAAACGATTTACATGTATTTTTCAGCAACTTCATCAAATAATTTTATAGCTTTATCTATCTCATCTACTTCAAACGTTTCTTTACCTTTTATGGGAGCACCATACATTTTCTCAAACTTTTCAAGTAGTTCTGTTTCAGCAGCTCTCATATCGTTAACAAACACAACCTTGACTCTATTGACTGTACTGTCATATCTTTGAGTTATATTATATGTTCTTCCTATCTTATATCTCTTTGTATTGAAGTCCTTCGGTTTCTGAACGATGTAAAGTAAGCCTTCACTGCAACGTTCCGTATCGAATGAACCATATGTTATGAAGTTATATCCAACAACTGGGTCTAACCATAACAAAACTATTGGTATAAGACTTTTGTCTATAAGATATGCTGCAGTTCCATAGAATCTTACCGATATCATAAGCTCAGGATTTCTTGTCAAAATTTTCTGAGTAGAAGCAATTCCAACCCAATGGTATGTTTTCTTTCCAGATGGAGATAAAATGTCTGACAAAGAATATTTGTTGTATTTCTTTGAGTATCTTACGTTTAAATCACCTATTCTAACCACTTTGGTGTCATTGTCTATCTTTTTAACTGTTTCAAACTCATTGTTTGACATTTCTGTTCTTACATACAAAATAAAAAAATAAATAAAAATAAAACTAACTTTATTTTTTATTTCGGGAAAACTCATGAAATTTGGTCATTTTTCAGCAAAAATAAAGTTTAGGTGAAGAGGTGAGATCTCACCTGTTTTTTCACCTCTTTTTTCACAAGCGTTTTACATGAATTGTACGATGTATATTTGAAATCCTAAACAGTTTTGTAGCCTCTATTTCTTCTTTTAGTACATCGAATGTTTTAACAATGCCGAAAGTTTCTTTATACTTCTTCTTGACGTCAGATAGAAGGAAATCTTCTGCTGTTGGATAGTTTTTGTTCAGAAATTCTAACATGTCCATTTTATTTTCTGCTGGTTTTTCTGCTTCTTTCTTTAAGTCTGCATAGTCGTTTCTCATTCTTTCTATCTCTTTGACGGAGTAGTTATATCTCCTCATTGCCGCTTTACATTTTGAACATTGCGGGTTCATTTTTGCGTTATATTCTGAAACCTTACCTGCTAAAACAACTAAAGCGTCAATGGTTTTCTTTAACTCAAAAGTTGCTGGTTTTATCTGTTTGTTCCATACCTTACCTCTTCTATCTTTATCTCTTATCTGCCATACACATTCAGCAACTAACGAAACAAAGTTGTCGTAGGTCTTAAATTCTTCAGATTTATATATGTCAGAAACATTCTTATATACCATGTCGCAATCTTTGTCCATAACCTTATGGTTGCAATGAAATCCTAGAAACTCATAGTTTACCTTACGAATGAACTTCTTTATTTCTACTGAGTCAGTTGCTTTGACTTCTATTTCATCGAATTCAGGAATAGTGAGTTTTTGTTGCTGAATTTCAGGCAATTTGGGTAAATGGTCAATAATGTCCTGCATTTCATAAAGATACTGTTCATTTGTTTCATCTTTCGCACTACAGTCTAAATTACATGTTAAAAGTTCTTGCTTTATCTTCTGGATTTCTGTTTCGAAAGTATATGAAGAAGGAATGAAGCTTTTCATCTCTACTAACATTGACGTTGGATTCATGACTAACGAGTTTGGTGCTGTAGTTGTTTGAAGTGTTGTTGTGCCGATTGTTGACATTTTTATTTTTTTATACAAAATAAAAAAAATAAAAAAAATAAAACTAACTTTATTTTTTATTTCGGGAAAATTCATGAAAATTCAAGAGGGTGAAAAAACAGGTGAAAAAACAGGTGAGATCGCACCACTTCACCTAAACTTTATTTTTGGGTCCTTTACACTCATTACGATGAAGAAGTCTTGACAAAACATTTACGTTCATGTTTGACAAAACATTTACGAAGAAGTTTCGACAAAACATTTACGAAGAAGTCTTGACAAAACATTTACGAAGAAGTCTTGACAAAAACATTTACGAAGAAGTTTTGACAAAACATTTACGAAGAAGTCTTGACAAAACATTTACGTTCATGTTTGACAAAACATTTACGAAGAAGTCTTGACAAAACATTTACGAAGAAGTCTTGACAAAACATTTACGAAGAAGTCTTGACAAAACATTTACGAAGAAGTCTTGACAAAACATTTACGAAGAAGTCTTGACAAAACATTTACGAAGAAGTCTTGACAAAACATTTACGAAGAAGTCTTGACAAAACATTTACGAAGAAGTCTTGACAAAACATTTACGAAGAAGTCTTGACAAAGCATGTACGATGAAGTCTTGACAAAGCATTTACGAAGAAGTCTTGACAAAACATTTACGAAGAAGTCATGAAAATTCAAGAGTTTTAGACCATGTTAGAAAACAGGTTAGATCTAACCTTCTACCCTAAACATTATTTTTCAATACTTTTTCAGCACTTTTCCGTAGTTATATATGAAAGACAATTCGAGATAAAAGTCATAGTACAATGGAATAATATGTTGCACACCATTTGTTGTGAACCAAACTTGAAAGTCAGAGAAACTGTTACTAGGTGGTTCGTAGTATTTAGAAGCAAAGTCATAAAAGTCCTTACCAATACATAGAAAACTATTGTTGCTTGAACTGAAACTTGCATGACACATAACATTTTGAGGGTCAAACACGTTTCTATAAACTGTCAAATCTGCTGGTGGAAGTATAAATTTAAATGGACCATCTGGTGGTAATGGCTCGTTCTGGTTTAGTAACCGAAGAAATTGTGCCCAAGAACGTTTGTCTACTTTCCAAAATAAAAACTCTGTATCTCTTGGAGGGTTAATTTCAATCTTTTGAAATGAAACGGTGGAGTTCATCTTGTCATATTCTAGTTTCAGATAGTATGTTCCATTTAGTAAAGAGTCGTATTTTTCTTGAAATTCCCAATAATATTTGTTCATTTGAGTTTGAAAGTCATTTAGAGTTTTCTCAAGACTTTCGTCTGAACGAACTGTAAAGATTCTCATTTCGTCAAATTTGTCTATTAGACCATCAGAACCTTTATACTGCCCATGAAAATATACTGCGAACATAAATGCGTTAGTTCTATTTGAAAACAAAACTCTTCTAAATCCTATTGCCTTTGCATCTGAAGGACTTTGAAGCCAACGAATTGGATAGTCAAACCTGTATGCTCGGGATGAAATTTCTTCATCTGAAATAGTCCTACCAGCATTTGTAAAGATATAGTCTAACGGTTTTGTATCTGCTACTTTTGTTCTTTGTTTTTCAACCTGAAGCATTTTATATATGTAAAAATATATTGTTTTAAAATGGTATGCCATTTCATATTTCTCATCTAACAAACAAGTTTCCCAACGGTCTTCTCCAACAAACTCAGCGTACATTTCAAATAAAATTAAAAAATGTCACTTTTTTGAAAATAAATTTTTACTTCATGCAATGTTTTATTTCTGTGCCGTCTTCAAGTATGCCCCAGTACTTACGCTTGGAGAGGACATGAACTTCAGAAAATACCTTATCTAGCTTAAAACAGCCCATCTTTTCACCGACCATGCCCATTTCAATGAGTTTGTTGTACCCTTCTTCGTTCGTCATGAGTGCGTCAATGTTCTCATAGTAAACCTTCACTTTGGATTTGACTTCGGAGAAGAATTTGTTGTAGTTGTCAAGGACTGCCTTTGCGAACTGAGGGTAAGACCAATGTTCGACAATAGGTTTTAATGTGGTTACTAAGCCACTTTGACCTTGAGTGAATTCGTACTTCAAAACAAAAGGAGAAAACCTTTCAACAAAGTTGTCGACCTTCTCATAATGTTTACTCTTCATCTCTTGAGGTTTCTTAATGGAATATCCCCATGTCGAATTCATAAGCAATTTGAGTGTCATTGCAAGTTTGGGGTTTGAAGCTTTCCTAATATCATACAGTTGTTGTATGACTTTTCCAACTGTATAGTTCCTTCCCGGGAACTCACCAT